AGACAATATATTTCTCCCTTTAAAATGTATTCTTATTCAATGTCACTTAAAACTATGTCTTTTAACCACCAGAGATGCAGAAATTTGTATTTCAAACTTGGAAAACACTAGCCTATAGGGGTCAAGGTTCCTCAACCAAGCTGGTGATGACATTGCAGTGAAATCTCTAGGCGAGGCTGGGAAGATCCCTGGGGTCACAGTCCTTACACAACACAGATACAATGTTTATCTTTTAGAGGTTGTTTAAAGCCTGCCCTGGGGCTACTAGATCAAAGTCTTCAAAGGAGAAGCCAAAGGGTGTCTTAATTTCACTTTTGGATATGAGGCTGCCTTCTGAGTCATTTGCAAATTCAGTTTACAGTAGGAAAAGTATAAGTAACAGCAAAAACAGCAACAATAAACTCACTCATTTGTGCAGCTGGTTATATATTTACTTTTATTTTCCTATTCTAGGTCAATCATTTCTAGCATTCCAATCAGAGATTACGTATCTCCACCATATGGATAAAGAAAATGAGACACACAAAATAGATGACCTTTCCAGTGCTAGCAACTCATACAGACTTTCTGATGCCTCTTTATTGTTACTATTACTATACTTTAAGTTCTGGGGTACATGTGCAGAACTGCAGGTTTGGTATACAGGTATACACATGCCATGATGGTTTGCTGCATCCACCACCCTGTCATCTAGGTTAGGTATTTCTCCTAACGCTATCCCTCCCCTAACCCCCTTGTATGATTTACTTAGTGCATTGGGGCCCAATTTGATCTGAAGGTGTGCTGGGTGACCATCAAGGTAGGATATCTAATCATGTCAAATCTAAATCTGATGCATTATCATGGTCTTATCAAACACTGGGAGGTGGAGGGATGGAAGGTGCCCAGAGGAATTCTCACTTAGAAATTTCTAGTAGTTTAGAATGCTATAATGCCTAGGACATGAATTTCCCTTTACTGATCCAACCCTGTTTTCTTGCCCCTAACATTTTACTCCATACCTGTTTTTGACTGGGAAACTAAAGTTAAAAAAGAGAAGATGGTGTCTTTGGGAAAAGCCCATTTGTAATTCTAGAGACCCTGGACTGGTTTGTTAGGTAAGCAATATTAAATGGACCACCTCTTTACTAGTTCATAAGAGTAAGTCATTTGAAAACTATATTTCTAAACCCCACTATTTATTTCATATCCCACTTAATGTTGGGGGCCAGGGAGAGGGAGAGAGAGCATTACCATAGCGTAAAATAATTTCCAATTTCCTGAGTTCTTACTGATTTAAAAATAGTGATTAAACTAAGCTCATTCTAGTTGTTATGTAAAAAGGAGTATTCTAATAAAATTATATGCCTTTAAATCTCAATATTTTCAGAAAAGAGATGTCTCTGAAACAAAAGAAGCACCATTGCTTGAACAAATGAGCAAAAATATATCAAATATGAAGTTCCTTATATTGGAAGAGTCCAAGTTTGTGAAGATCTTGACAAGCTCATGCCAATTTCAAAATTATTCCATAATATCTTCTATCCAATTATATATAATTGATAATTATGTAAACTTGTCTTTTAAAAAATTAAAAGCTATTTTACCTGTTGTTTTGCTAATATTATGCGGCAAACTTTAGTCAAATATAAGTAAATTCACTAGACAGATAATTAGGTTTTTTTTTTTTTTTTTTTTTTTTTTAGTATTTGGTGGTAGGTAAATTGTCAAACAGTTCTCTGCCTACACTATAGTGTGTGAAGACATCTATATTCTATTGTTAGCTCAGGAGAGAGGAAAAGGAAAGAGTGGAATGATATCTGAAGAGACGAGTCAGATAAAACAGAAGGCATGAAGTGGTAAATTCTTCCCTTATATTATTCTGAAGGCTGGAATTGGGAAAATAATACAAACAGTAACAATATAATTGCTACCTTCTAGGGTTTTTCCTGTTTTAGGGATGGCTGTAGAAATGTGAATTCATCGGTTCGTCACCAGGGCTGGCAAGGTAGGACTTATTGCTTCCATTGCACATTTGTGGAAAATGAAGTTCGGAGAGGTCAAGATACCTATCTGAAGTCAAACAGCTAGTACGAGTCAGAGCTAGGCTTTATATACAGGAGTATTTAAATGTCATGCCCAATATGCCATATATTGCTTTTACTTTTCAAATGAATATTTGAGCTCTGTGCAAGCTGAAGGTTAAGCCAGCATTGTCTCTGTGAACTTGGGAAAGATGACCAGGCTCTCACTATTAGTTTCTTAAAAAGGCCAAGAACAAGGAAATCAAATGTAAGTCACCAGGATGAAGAAAACACTTGGGGGACAGTAGCCTCTAATTATGGAAAATGACTAGGTGAGTTAATTTCCAAGATAAAAATTCAATTCTTATACCAAGATCCAGAAATTGACTCCCCCTTGCTGCCCCCTATTTTTAATCCCATGAAGAGGATGTAATATCAAACTTCTCTATGGAACAAATAGCTAAACAATGCCTAATTTCTTTCTTTTATATTTGATTTCCAAAATTCATAATGTAAAATGATGTAAACCCTAGCAGAAAAATTCACAATTCTTATCCTTGTGCCATTTTAGACTTGTAACAGTCTGAGCGTTCAGAGATGTGACTAAATTCTCTCATCAAACTATGTGGTGATGACTGCTCAAAGTAATAGACCGAACACCTGGAGGCCGAGGAGCTTCCATCCCCTTCCAAGTTCTCACCGCCAATGGCTTAGCTAAGATAGTGATTGTGAGGGATAGCCCTTGCTGTTGGCTTCTTATTCTAAATTTAAAGGGTATATCTCCTGAACCAAAGTGGTAGAAATGGGAATTTCTCACATCCAGCTTTGATATCATTTCCTGTGTAGCTTTGGAGAAATGCTTAACCTCTCTGGTCCACAACTGCCTTCAGTGTAACGAAGGGATTGTAGCACATACTTTGTCTTCTCATAGGAACAGGATGTGTTACACATGTTTAGGAAATGACAACCATACAGTATGAGCTCAAGAAAGGCTCACTAATTAAAGAGAAGAATGATTGAATTAATTAATATTCCCTTCCTATTTTTCAAAGCATTTGACATACACAGATAAGGTTTATGCTTACTAATTACCCTTATTAATAAAAGTAAAATCGGCATTACTCTTCAACACCAGAGGGATTTTACCATTAAAATACTCTTTTAAATTTGAGATAGAACATTGAAAACCCAATCACTCCTGAGGCTTCAGCTCCCATTTGATGACTCTTATACTCCATGCCCAGGCCCTACTTCTACAGTGAGCAAACTGAAAATCCATACTTTCGATGACTTACTTGAAAGTCCATCCGGCTGTCACACAAACACCTCCCATTTACAGTCCCAACCCAAATTCAATTCAACTTATTTTCCCCAAACCCACTTCTTTTCAATTTACCAATCCTAAGTACTAAGAACGTGATTGACACAATTTTTCAGATAAGGATGCTTAAAAATCACACTGGCAATCTCTAATCAGTCATCAAATCCTGATAAATCTGCCTCATCAGTATATTTGCTTTCATTCAATAGATATTTATTGTGTACCTGTTATGTTTCAGGCACAGTGTAAAGAACTGGGTATACAATGGTAAACAAGAAAGCAAGATTCCCTGCCCTCATGGAGCTTACATTCTAGTGGGGCAGTCAGACTCACCCACCCAAACACATACATACAGCCAAAAAGCAAAATAAGTTTAAAGAGTTGTCATCAATACAAAAAAGAAATATCAAGAAAGGGTGACCTGCTTTCCATGGAAAAGGGAGCGTGTTTTGCTTGTACGAGGAACAAAAAGATGCCTAGTGTGGCTGGAGTACGGTTCACTAAAGGAGGATGGAATGGAATGACACTGGAGAGGTTCACAGGGCCCTGTTCATGTAAAGCAATAAAGTAAAGGCATCAGAATTCATTTTAAGTCTTCGGGAAACCAGTGAAGAAGTTTAAGTTATGAGATCATGTGATCTGGGTTGTGTGTTAAAAGTATCCCTCCGGTTTCTTTGTGGAGAAGAGGGTGGGAGACAGAGGATCAGCCAAGAGATGGTGTCCATCTTCCGGGTCAGAGATGACCCTGGCCCAGACCCGGCTGATGGCAGTGCAGGAGCAGAGAAGTCTTTCCTCTTCTCCATCCCCAAATTACTGAATTATTTCAGGCCCACATTCTATCTCATTTTGACCTTTGCAAAAGCCCTCCTGGGCACACCTCTAGGTTTATGTGCTCCTAATCTGTCCTCCACACTGCCTGCCTGCCTGCCTGTCAGACAAATTTTGCCCCTATTCTGCTCAGAGACCCCAACTGCACAGCCCCCCTTCACTCCTGTTGTCTTATAAAGTTTGTCAAAAAGAGGTGAAGGATATTTCAGTGACCCAGGAGCAGTTTCAAATACCCTGACCTGGTTCCACCTGACACACAGAGACATGCTCTCTATATTTTTAACCAATTCTCCAAGAGGTGTAACTAAACTACTCTGTTATCTTCCCTGTCACCCCCAGAAACCGAGGCCTAAAAGAGATAACTTAGTTAAACCCTAGGTGTGTCCAGAATTGCCACAGCTGCCTTACTCTCCGTTCGTACTCTACGTCTCACTGTCTCCTTTCTGTTACATCTTTCATGCTCTTCCTTCAACCTGGAAGGAGAGAAAATATCTTCTTGCATTGTCTAAGAGAGCAAACAGGTAAATAGGTGATAACAAGATAACAAGGTAGATACTTTGGTACAGGGTTGAATGAGCAAAAGATGTCAGGAAAGGTAGTTAAATTCATTCTGCATCCTCAAGTAACTAGAACAGGGTTTACAAAATAAGATGAATCAATAAATGAATCAATGAATGAATGATGAATACAAACTATACCCATTACTTGAGGACAAAAACAGAGACATGTTCCTTCTTTCCACTGCATAGATGGTATAAATCAGTGATTGCTTTAGAAATAAGGAAGGACTATTTAAATTAAGATTGCTTTTAAGGCAATGTGTTCCAAATGAAAAAGGACTCCACTAGTTGGGAAAGACATTTTATTTCCAAGTTTCTAAGAGTGTTCTACAAACAATAGAGGCTTAAAGAAAAAATAAAAGGTAAAAAGAAAAAGAAAAACAAGTATTCTTAACTACTGAAAGGTAAACAGCCTTTTTAAAAAAGACTTCAACATAAAAATGCGAAAATGTAGTTGTCATCTCTAATCCAAACACATTCCTAGAGAAAAGGATCATCCATGGTGACAGGGTTACTTACAGCTGTATACTTATTTAAATGCTATTCATATTCCTTTTGAGTTATTTCTTCATTGTAAATTCAATTGGAGATCTGTGCAAATCTAGCAAAATATTCTTTGGATTACAAAAACTATATAAAAAAATGAACACAACCTGCAATTATGGAAGTATTGAGAATGCGTAATCCTTCACTGAGATGAAAGTTTCTAAAGTGACATGGTCCACAGAATTTATTCCATTGAAGTGTTCAGCCCAATTTGATTTAAATGCAAGATAAAACGGAAGTGAGCACTTCATAAAAAACATTTCTTTGTATGCATGCTGACTAAATCATAAAAATAGTACATAACATGGTATCAAGAAATGCTTCAAACAAACTTTCACAATAAAGTCAGAAAAAAAAAAAAAAAACTGTAAAAAAATTGTCTGCAATCCAAGAAAAAGCATGTGCCCTGTGTTTAGGGGGAAAGAGGGAAAGTACTTGCAGTGTGACTTTGTGTGGTCTTTCCCCAAGTATTGCTACGTTTTGACCTTTGGCCCAACTGAACAGGTGAAATGCCCTTCAGGTAAGTTTCAATCCTTCAAGAAACTAGAAACTAGCTGGGAGGCAGGGTACTAAAGACAAACTCCCGGACCAAAAGGCATTGACTCTCAGAATCTCACATGGTCCCTGCCTTCATTCTGAGCTTACGGATCTAAGCATATTCTAAACAAATGAATGAATTTTGAAATGAATCGCCCTTTCTCTTATTAAAACTGAAACTGCCACATCATTTTACAATTAGTTTAAATTACAGTGAGAAAAATACCCAGTTTCAACTGTCAGAGTCTTACAATAGCCTGGTAAGTTCAACAAAAGAAAAAATAGAATAACATTTGAGTCTGGGGAAAATTCATATTTTGACTCTAGTCCCCCAGGCCCCCAGTGCTCAGTGTGGGGCACAGAATGTATACCTGGAACATTAGAGTTCTGATTGCTCCATTCCCTCATGGATTCATCTCTCATAGCCATCAAATTATTGATATACAAGATAAATGCATATTATATAAGACATATTGCAAAGTCATAGACTGAACTAGTTCTTTCACATCCTTCTTTTCAGAAGATGTGTGCGAAGAGAAGCCAGGAGGTTAACACCAAGAATGTACAAAAAAGCTTTACATGATGTTACAGAATCTTGTCTGAAAAAACATTTGTAAAACATACTTGATTTTAAATAAACAATAAAAGCAGCAGACAGACTACAACAGATCATAAATAGGGTTATTAAAAGATCACAATTAAATTAGAAATATAAATGGATCATTAGAAATACTTAACGTTTTTTTTCAATGTTAAGAATCAAACCCAGAATTAAAAAAGAATCTTTTTTTATTTCAAAGTTTGCTTCTTATATTGAAGCTCATATTAAAGCAACAGTACAATGTTCATAAAATATAAGTGTGATGCCGTAACATTTTCTTAAATGTCAGAATACTGATATTTGTATGTATACTAAAATAAGAACTTTAAAATTGTACAAATAGATACATTAAAAATGACATAGAAATAGGGCGTCTCTCACTGAAACAAGACAGTTATATCTGGCACGTATTAGTTTAAGATGAAAGTAGAAGCAAAAAGATTTACAAGAATCAGCAGTAACAAGATTGATGCTCAAGAGACATAATTGTACATTGTATTGTACATACATTGTATGGGTTTAAGCTGGCTGAATATTATATATTTCAAGTTTAAAAATGCACTACATATAGAGTGTCCAGAGTTTAAGGCGAAATTACAGCTCAGAACTGTTGTCCTTTCTAATTTTGTGGAAGCTTCTTTGACAACTTAAAAAAGAAGAAAGACTTAGATGTTCATAACACATAAACAATTTCCCTTCATTGTCAGTTCACCATTAGACTTCTCCTTCACTTAAATATTTTGTATGCCAAGTGTTTTTTTTTCCTAGTGAAGTTGATAAACAACTTCAATATTTGCCTTTTTGTGAGAAAAGGTATTTCACAGTATTTACCACTTTGTTGTCCTCGCAGTTTTATTAAATGTGTCCTCTCTGTAAAACTTTGCCTGTTTTAAATGAGCCTTTCCTTGTTTTAAAAAAATACCTGTTTACACATCTTCTAGATTCTTGAGAACGCCAGACACAGTTCTTAAGGCCAAATTTGTATCGTTATTGTTAAGAATCGTCATCAAAAGTGTCTTTGGAACCATATAAGTCTGCTAGTTTCTTAAAACGAGGTCCCCAGTTTTGTAGATAATCATAGTCCAAGTCTGAATCTGTGGTGGCTGACTCTAGGGAGCTCAGGGACCCGGCCACTGAGCCCCTGCCTTCATAACCATAGATTTGAATAGAGTCATAAGGAGGGGCCGTGGGGTCATTGTCTGCCTCTTGTATTCTTGTGTTGATGAAGTCATCGACATCCACGCTGCTGGGTGCTGGCCGGAGCCCAGGTCTAGGCATGTACTGATACTCAGGTTTGATGTCTTTGCGGGGGATAAATCCATTGATACCATCAGGATTCTGGAGAGTGGCAATATCAAAGGCTTCTGTGTCTTCTTCTCCACCCCCTTCATCATCGTAAGTAATGATGTTCTCACGGACATCTTCTTCCTCAAAGACAATGAGTGGTTCTTTCTTTTGCCTTCTCAGGGTCACGAACAATACTACGATGACTGCAGGGACAGAAAAAGAAAGTAAGCATTTGTGAAGTCCAGTATTCCTGGATTCTTCTACCAGAGGAACTCTGCTTACTGTAAACCATGGGATACAAATGCTCAGAACTGGAAACAGCATAGGAAATGAAAACTTTGCCTGCAATTCCCAACGGTGGATAAAATTGACCCCCATCTGGCTCTTCCCCTACAAATGCTACTGTGAAAACATTATACCCAACAAATTGGGAGGTTGGGACTATTTTGAACTTTTAACAAATGAATCCAGATACCACTTAGAAGTCATCTTCCTAAGAGCTAGGACGATTCTGAATATGTTGGTCTGTAGTCTCTTAAAAGTGGGTAATGCCAATTTCTCTTCACAAAAAAAAGGTAGCTGTTTTTCCAAGGTTTAACAATGAGGACATGCAGAGACCTCAGAGCCTGCCTCTTATAATAGGTGATGGCTAGCTCCTGCCAATGTCTGAGAAAGAACATTGATCCTATGTTAACTTAATGTGAAATCTTATCATAAGTGTGGCTGGATTCTTTGTAGCCACCACATAGAAGAAAGGAAGTTTATAAAGCCCCAGAAGACAAAACCTTCTGTTTATATCAGCATAGGAAAAGAGCATCAGCTGGAACCCCAGGTAAAGCAATCTCATGTCTTCCCTGGGAGAGGGGATTCCATTAAGTTTGGGCAACTTAGGAGGGGTAAGGAAAGTTCAGCCACAGTTTAATTCTTCATTGATTCCCTCTGTTCCCCAAGAGGCTTCTACCATGTTCCATTAGAAGGCTCCCCCACACACTTGGGAAGGTTGAAGAATATGTTTGTGGCTGAATTTGGCATGCCAAGTGTGCACCCCTCTGGCTCCACCATTGCTCTGAGAAGCAGGGACGAGAGGTTGTTTTTTCCCTGGACTTCATATGGATCCCAAAGCTCTGTGCCTTGTTCTCGTGGGCACTTCCACTCACAGAGAACACTCCTTTTCACTTTCTCTGCTTGGTGGACTCATTTTTCCTTTCATCATGGATACACTTCCTGGCCTCCCATCCTGACACCAGACAGGACTACTGGTACCTTCTTCATGCACCAGCCTGGCCCTGTTATTACCCTCATTATAACATTTATCACATGGTTCACACATCTGTCTCCTCTGCCATTAATTTTTTAGGAGTTTTTGTATTTTACTTCTTCTGTTGGAAATATTCATCTCTCCAAGCCTCTGTCCTCAGCTGGGCAACTCTTTCAGCAGCCAACCCGTGTGTCACATCCCCCAGAAAGATTTCTCTGACCTTCCCAGGCAATGTCAGATGCTTTCTACTCTGTGCCCCAACCAGCATGTGTTCATGTCCCTATTATAGCAGCCACCATGTGCCTCAGTTTATCTCTTCATGCATACTTTCCTTGACATACTGTGAACCTGTGGAGCACAGAGATCTCATAGAGTTCTTCTCTTTATCCCTCAGGACCTAGCACAGGGCCTGTTGCTCAGATAATACCCACTAACTATTTGCTGAACTGAACTCACTGGTTCTTTCCTACGGAGTAAAGCTCCATGAATTCATTCGAGGTAGAACCAAACACCATGGGAAAAGTGCAGGTTTGGTGTCAGGCATGCATGGGTTTGAATCCTGATTTTGTCTCAGAGTTCTGAGGCTCTGGGACAAAATGATCTTCCTGAGGTCCAGCAATGGCAGATGTTATGAGCACCAGCAAATGGCTATTTTTTTTTTTTTTTTTTTTTTTTTTTTTTTTTTTTTTTACAGAATAAGCCACAGATGAGACACAAATGCAGAAGAGGGGCACCGAACCCAGGAGGCAGGTGCAGGAAAAGCTTCCAAGGGGTCCCCATGAGCTGAGGTGTTAGCATAGATGTTATGTATGATCATTAGTGGAGGGGATAGAGTCCTGCTTCTTCCTTCTTCCAGTTCCCGAGTCCTTCCTATGCTATCTTTTGTTCCTCCTCGTGTGACTAATGTCCATAAGCCTTCTTTTTCCTTGTGAGACAAAACCATTGCTAATACAGCAGGTTTCTGCCCAAATCCCTCTTATGCCAAACCTTCTCCCATGTCCCTGAAGCCCCTGCTGACTCCTGCTATACAGCCCTGTGATGGCCAGGCAAAATGTTAATTGTGACTTTCCTTCCCTGTTCCCTGCTGGAACCTGCTGGTTCAGTTGTCTGCTCCCCCCAGTACTCCATCAAATGCATGAAGCAGACGTCCCCCACCATGCCTCGGCAACACGCACCCCCCCCCAGCTCCCTACCCCACTTCTTGTCTTAAACTGTGTCGACACTCATAGCAGGGTCCTGGTTACCAGCCTGTACTTGAGAAGCATGTTTCAAGGAGGGGCATCCGGTTACCAGGCTCTTCCTGCAGGGGACCAGGAAGCACCCTTACCCAGGAGAATGACGATGCAGGCGAGGATGGCGATCAGCGCGCCCGTGCTCAGGCCGGCGTTCAGGATGTAGGCCTCTGCATTGCAGGAGAGCAGTGCCCCGTTCACGTCGCACCCGCAGACTTTGATGGTGAGGGTGTTGGTGCTACTCATGGGCGGGATGCCACCATCGCTGATGACTATGGGCAGGAGGTACAAGTCCTGCTTCTGCCGACTGAAGCCTCCACGCCTGGCGTACACACCTGCTGTGTTATCTGCAGAAAGAGGGGAGACAGGCCAGGCGCCCGGTCAAGACCGTTGGAATCACAGCGGCTCTCTGCTCTGCAGAGCTGAGGGCACTCTTATCATAAAGGTGAACCACCAGAATCGTTCTTACTTATTCTTTCATCTAAGTATCTGCAGAAGCCACCGTCATTTGGCATGATAGGATCACAAAACAAACTATCTGCATTTTGGAACAAATCTCAGAAATAGGCTCTTTGTGATTTGGTGGGGAATTGCCACTGAAAAAAGGGGAAAACCAAAGAGAAAATGATGTGGCAGGCTTGTCAGTGAAGGGAATTCCCCCACCACCTTCCGCCACCCAGTTAAACATGTCACTTCTCCTGCTTAGAATGATTTGAAGTTTGTTGCTCTCGTGACTCAGTGCACCTCTGACTGCATGATGTACAATTAGATATTATTTCCCTAACCCAGACTTCACCTTGCCTTCTGGGCTCACATCCCATGTTTTCCCACAGAAAATGGTGTGGCAGGCTTGCTATTGAAGGAAATTCCCTGATTGGGTATTGTCCCTTCTCCAAATGCCACAAGAAAGCATGAGCTTCAGCAATCTACTCTATGTTAGCACAGGAAATGTTAATCATTAAATATTCAAGAGAGTACGACAAAAAAAAGAACAAAGCTTCTTTCTCATGTGCAAATTTCCTACTTTATGACAATCATTTAGCCAATTTTTGTTTGTATATTTTTGAAAAAGAAATCCCAAGTCCACCTTCAAATCTTACCCAAACTATGAATCCACACATTAGTCATGGAAATAGATATGACTTAAAGAGAGCAACTATTTTTATAAGACTTGCAGGAGATTCATGGTTTCTTTAAGACCCCAACACCATCAGCTACCCAATTAAACATGTCACTCACTCCTCCTGCTTAGAATGTTTTGAAGTTTGTTGCTCACATACCACAGTGCACCTCTGCCTGCATGGTGGACTATCAGATATTATCTCCCTAACCTGGACTTCACCTTGCCTTCCAGGCTCACATCCTACGTTTTTCCATATGGACTAGTTCAGCCTGACATGAAGAATTCAGTTTTGTCCCCCAAGAATGCCGCATTCTTCCCTGTACCTGGTCTTTTTATCCATTGCTCTCTTGCTCAAAATAGCTCTTCCTTTTATCGTAACAGATGAACTTCTCAGGCCTCAAAATAGAATTCAAAAGTCATCTCTTAAGGGAGGCCATCCAAGACCTCTCCCATCATCTCCTGTGTGACCCATCACACTGTCTATTCTTCTAGAAATTCATAGCCTACTCTTCTGTCATGATTTGTTGACATAACCACTTTGACCTCTGTGAGACTGTGAACTTCTTGAGAATAGGGGATTTTTATCTGATTCATCTCAGTCTCTCCAGGGCCAGAAACAGAGCAGACATTCAATAAATATTTGTTGAACAAATGGCAAAACTGTATTCTGGGAAGGATTTAACCAAAATTCCAGATGTTGGCTTTTCTGTATTTCCCAATCTTGTATAGTCTCTGTCCCCAAAATGCTTCCTCATGTTTTCTCTATTAGCTGCAACTATTTCTAAGATGTACTTTCTAGTGGGAAATCATTGCTATTATAAAACAGTAGAAATTTTTAATATGTTCCATCAAATTACACATACGTGCATATACACACACACAGTGAACTCCTGGTACGGTCTGCCTCTGTTTGTGGGTTAAGAATCAGAGTTTATAGCAATATGAATGTTACGACTAGCATCACAGCCCAATAGCTGGTAGACTTTAAATTGACAGGATTCTGAATTAGCTCCTGTGGTAGGGAAAAAAAATCTCAGACTTTCAAAATTATTTAATATATTTTAGGTTAAAGAAAATGTATAATTTTCCCTTGGTATCTGCAGGGGATTAGTTCTAGGATCCTCCCCTGAATACCAAAATCCAGGGATGCTCAAATCCCTTATATACAATGGCATAGTATTTGCATATAACATACACACATTCTCCTGTATGTGTTAAATGATCTCTAGATTACTTATAATACCCAATACAATATAAGTGCTATGTAGTTATTATATACTATAGTTTCAAATTTTGTATTATTTTTTATTGTTATATTGCAATTTTTTGTTGTTTTCTGTTTTTTTCCTCCCCCTAAATAAATTCAATGCTCGGTTGGCTGAATTCACAAATGTGGAACCCATGAATATGGAAGGCCTATTATGATTTATTTTCTGTTGATTTTACACAAACGCTCACACACACACACACACACACACACACACACACACACATATGGCAGATTCAGTCTTATTTAGGGATGAGCAGAAATTCTGAGTATTGCAGATGGTGAGGTTTGGTACTCTCCGGCTCTAGTAGACCTTATAATGACCAATTCTCCGCCCTTCACTGCCAACATTTCATCCAAAACAACATGGAACAAGCCCTCAATTCTGTATTTTCTGAATTTTGTATGATTGGCATACATTCCTCTTATTACTGGGGAAAATTATACAAAAAAAATTGTACATACTATGAAATAGAATGAAAAAACAAAAGTAAGCTAGTCAAGTAAAATGGCAAGTGAAAATGCAGTCACCTGAGGTTCTTTCCTGCTCTAGGCAGTACATACCATTGTTCCATACTTACTAATCACAACAACAATTACGTGTCTATAATAAATTAATTCAAAATATATTTTCTCTTCGTGTGTGTTTTTATAGTCAAATCAGACTCTCACGAATTGAAAGTTACACTATCTACTCCATTTTAATAATCTGAAATGGATAAAAATGAATGTTAAAAATTTAACTGAATTGCTAGGTTAAAGATAAGTGTCTGATATGGGAGACATGCCCAGCAGATGACTTGCTTGGTTTATATACTGGGTCCTGCTCTGTTACCCATGGTGCCATGGCTGGAGAGTATGGGAACAGAGTATTTTTGTTTTTATACACTTGGAGAAGTCACAATTTAAAACTGTGCTTCAGTGTGCCATCCATGCAGACCTGCACTTCCAGATCACAGCAGCTTGGCTTATAGAGGAAGGTACTTGAAGCTCAAACATCAATGGCAAACATGGATCTGAGCATGACATTGGCATGTGAATTCAAGATGTTTCATATTCTGAACAACTGAGTCCTCTCAGACACACAGAAACCACTACATAAAAGTTATTCAAAGTACCCAACTGACCAAACCATTTATTTACAGTCCCGGAGTGTTAGATCAGTAGAATCATAAGAACTTTTTAAATCTCTGCTATTAAAACATGCTTTACATATGGATTTTAAGATCAGTTGAAGAAGTGGGAAATAAATGAGCTAAGTGTTTGTGGGCAAATACTAATTATCTGCTGTTGATTGGGTAATTTTTCCCATCTAGAGTCTCATTTGTTCATCTTTAAAATTAGGAGAATCTTTGATAGCAAGCATGCCTCATGGTGTTGTTATGGAACTAAATAACATGAGAGAAACCAGTGTTTATCCTCTGTGCTGTGCTCCCAGAAGGCTCAGGGAATCCTTCTACCAGAAAACCGAACACCCATTATTGAGAACCTCCAGGGCTGGTGAGCTGGCAAAGGTGAACACTGTGGGTAGGAGATGTGTCTAGCAGCCTGGTTTGGCACTTAGGTGGTCTATGCCACTTGAGTCAATAAAATATTCCCCCTTTAGATCCAGGTTGCTCCACGACCAATGGGAGTGTCAGCTTTCTCTTAGAAGTGGCATTTCTGAGTGGCATTTCAGTATCATGGCCTGTCTTTCTTGTGACCCACTCTGATCACTGATTAAAAATAGTCACTATGGCCTGGTGTGGTGGCTTATGCCTGTAATCCCAGGACTTGGGAGAACAAGGCAGGCAGAACACTTGAGGCCATGAGTTTGAGACTAGCCTGACCAACATAGCAAAAACCTCTCTATACTAAAAAATACAAAAAAAACCTGGGTATGGTGGGGCATGCCTATAACTCCAGTTACTCAGGAGGCTGAAGCAAGAGAATCTCTTGAACGTGGGAAGTGGAGGTTGCAGTGAGCTAAGATCGTGCCACTGCCCTCCAACCTGGGAGACAGAATGAGACTCTGAATAATAATAATAAAAAATCCACTGTGGGTTGCTATAGTAGTTCACACCTGTAATCTTGACACTTTGGGAGGCTGAGGTGGGAGAATCTCTTGAAGCTAGGAGTTTTAGACCAGCCTGGGCAACATAGCGAGACCTTGTCTCTACAAAAAATAAGAAGTTAAACAATTATCTAGGCAGGGTGACCAGCATCTATAGTCCTATCTACTTAGGATACTGACACCAGAGTCAGTATCTGAGCCCAGGAGTCCAAGACTACAGTGAGCTATGATTGCACCACTGCACTACATCATGGCTGACAGAATGAGACCCTGTCTCTAAAAAGAAGAAAAAAAAATAGCCACTATGGTCAGGAACTTCATGAAAAATAAATAGGGACACACAAGTCGAAATAGAAACAAACTAACAATAACAAAATCTCTTGAATAGAAACCAATTTTTAATCCTATGTTTGACTACATACTAGCTTTAAACTCCCTATCCAGGTTGTAGTGGGTCTCCCTCCATTGGACATATGCATTACTGAGGTTTATGGATAACCCAAGATAGAATGACGTTCAGTGAGGATGTATTTCCATAAAAGTGTCAGATTGGCTCCAGGTTAATAGGATGAAACAGAAAATGACAAATATTCCATCAATCTTAAAATTTCCATAGAGATTTCTCAGATCTTTTTCTTATATAAAGATTCTAGGAAGTAAAAAACTCAATCTTTGGGGTCAAACAGACCTGGGTTTGAATTTTGAAGCTTGTACATATTAATTGCCTGACTTTAAACATATTAACGAGGTGTCTTGGTTTTCCATATTCTCACCTGTGAAACTAATACTTTTAGGTAAAATTTGATTCCATTCATAATGCTACTTAGCACAGTTGCCAGTCTTTTGGAGATGCTCAGTAAATATTAATTCTTTTCTGGGAAGTTCTTCTCTTTGAGCAGTAGAC